TTCAAATAAAAATTAATCTGGTTAAGAATCGTTTAACTTTTACAAAATGCACACGAGATCAATCTCGCATGAAGATCAAAATATTTTGGAAAAATTGATCGGAAATTATTTGAGTTATTTTAAAAGTTTTAATACAGTTTAGAAATGAATAACATTTTCGATTTCGTTTTGAAAGAAAATATCTATAGCAGAGCATGGTTTCGATCCACGAACCTCAAAGATATGGTCCAGCACGCTTCTGCTTCGGCACTCTTATCCTGATAGCAAATAAAATTTAATTTGATTAAGAAGAGTTTCACTTTTATGAAATGAGCACAAGAGCAGTTTCGCATGAAGATCAAAATATTTTGAAAAATTGATCGGAAATTATTTGAGTTATTTTAAAAGCTTTGCGGCAGATATGTAATGAATAACTGTTTCGATTTCGTCTTGAAAGAAAATTTCCAAAATATCTATAGCAGAGCGTGGTTTCGATCCACGGACCTCTGGGTTATGGGCCCAGTACGCTTCCACTGTGCCACTCTGCTCTTGCTTTCAAATATAATTTAATTCCTTTAAGAATCGTTTCAGTTTTACGAAATGCTCCCGAGATCATTCTCGCATGAAAGTCAAAATATTTTGGAAAATTGATCGGAAATTATTTGAGTTATTTTAAAAGTTTTGCTGCAGATATGTAATGAATAACTGTTTCGATTTCGTCTTCAAAGAAAATTTCCAAAATATCTATAGCAGAGCGTGGTTTCGATCCACGGACCTCTGGGTTATGAGCCCAGTGCGCTTCCACTGCGCCACTCTGCTCTTGCTTTCAAATATAATTTAATTCCTTTAAGAATCGTTTCAGTTTTACGAAATGCTCCCGAGATCATTCTCGCATGAAAGTCAAAATATTTTGAAAAATTGATCGGAAATTATTTGAGTTATTTTAAAAGATTTGCGGCAGATATGTAATGAATAACTGTTTCGATTTCGTCTTTAAAGAAAAATTCCAAAATACCTGTAGCAGAGCGTGGTTTCGATCCACGGACCTCTGGGTTATGGGCCAGCACGCTTCAACTGCGCCACTCTGCTCTTGATTTCAAATAAAAATTAATTTGGTTAAGAATCGTTCCACTTTTACGAAATTAGCACGAGAGCAGTTTCGCATGATAGATAAAATATTTTGAAAAGTTTATCGAAATCATTTGAATTATTTTAAAAGTTTTGATGCAGATATGTAATAAATAACATTTTCGATTTCGTTTTGTAAGAAAATTTCTAAAATATCTATAGCAGAGCATTGTTTTGATCCACGAACCTCTAAGTTATGGTCCAGCACGCTTCCACTGCGCCACTCTTATCCTGATATCAAATAAAATTTAATTTGGTTAAGAAGAGTTTCACTTTTATGAAATGAGCATAAGAGCAGTTTCACATGAAAGATAAATTATTTTGGAAAGTTTATCGGAATTCATTTGAGTTATTTTAAAAGTTTTGCGGCAGGTATGTAATGAATAACTGTTTCGATTTCGTTTTGAAAAAAAATTTCCGAAATATCTATAGCAGAGCGTGGTTTCGATCCACGGACCGCTGTGTTATGGGCCCAGCATGCTTCCACTGCGCCACTCTGCTCTTGCTTTCAAATAAAAATTAATTTCTTTTAGAATCGTTTCAGTTTTACGAAATGCTCACGAGATCATTCTCGCATGAAAGTCAAAATATTTTGGAAAATTTATCGGAAATTATTTGAGTTATTTTAAAAGTTTTGCTGCAGATATGTAATGAATAACTGTTTCGATTTCGTCTTGAAATAGAATTTTCAAAATATCAAAGCAGAGCATTGTTTCGATTCACGGACCTCTGGGTTATGGGCCCAGCACGATTCCACTGCGCCATTCTGCTCTTGTTTTCAAAAAAAAATTAATTTGGTTAATAATCGTTTAACTTTTACAAAACGCACACGAAATCAATCTCGCATGAAGCTCAAAATATTTTGGAAAATTTATCGGAAATTATTTGAGTTATTTTAAAATTTTTGATGCATATATGTAATAAATAACTTTTTCGATTTCGTTTTGAAAGAAAATTTCTAAAATATCTATAGCAGAGCGTGGTTTCGATCCACGGACCTCTAGGTTATAGGCCCCGCACGCTTCCTCTGCGCTGCTGTGCCCCTGCTTTCAAATAAAGATTAATTTGATAAAGAAATGTTTCACTTTTACGAAATGCGCACGAGATCATTCTCGCATTAAAGTCAAAATAATTTGGAAAATTTATCCGAAATTTTTTGAGTTATTTTAAATGTTTGATACAGATATGTAATAAATAACATTTTAGATTTCATTTTTAAAGAAAATTTCTAAAATAAATATAGGAGAACGTGGTTTTGATCCACAAACCTCTGAGTTATGGGCTCGCTTCCACTGCGCCGCTCTGCTCTTGCTTTCAAATAAAAATTAATTTGGTTAAGAATCGTTTCACTTTTACGAAATGCTCACGAGATCATTCTCGCATGAAAGTCAAAATATTTTGGAAAATTTATCGGAAATTATTTGAGTTATTTTAAAAGTTTTGATGCAGATATGTAATAAATAACATTTTCGATTTCGTTTGAAAGAAAATTTCTAAATAAGTATAGCAGAGCGTGGTTTCGATCCACGGACCTCTGGGTTATGGGCCCAGCACACTTTCACTACCCAACTCTGCTCTTGGTTTTAAATAAAATTAATTTGGTTAAGAATCGTTCCACTTTTACGAAATGAGCACGAGAGCAGTTTGGCATGATAAAATATTTTGGAAAGTATATCGGAAATATTTAAGTTATTTTAAAAGTTTTGATGCAGATATGTAATAAATAACATTTTCGATTTCGTTTTGAAAATAATTTTCTAAAATAAATATTTCAGAGCATGGTTTCGATCCACGACCTCTGGTTATGGGCCAGCACACTTTCACTACCCACTCTGCTCTTGTTTTCAAATAAAATTAATTTGGTTAAGAATCGTTTCACTTTTACGAAATTCGCACGAGATCAGTCTCACATGAAAGTGAAAATATTTTAGAAAATATATCGGACATTATTTGAGTTATTTTAAAAGTTTTGATACAGAAATATAATAAATAACATTTTCGATTTCGTTTTGAAAGAAAATTTCTAAAATATTTAGAGCAGTGCGTGGTTTTGATCCACGGACCTCTGGGTTATGGGCCCAGAACGCTTCCACTGCGCCACTCGGCTCTTGATTTCAAATAAAATTAAATTGGTTATTAATCGTTTCACTTTTGCAAAATGCACACGAGATCAATCTTGCATGAAAATCAAAATATTTTGGAAAATTTATCGGAAATTTTTTGAGTTATTTTAAAATTTTGATACAGATATGAAATGAATAACATTTTCGATTTCGTTTTGAAAGAAAATTTCTATATCAGAGTGTGGTTTCGATGCACTTACCTCTGGGTTACGGGCCCAGAACACTTCCACTGCTCCACTCTGCACTTGCTTTCAAATAAAAATTAATTTGGTTAAGAATGGTTTTACTTGGAAGAAATTTGCACGAGAGCAGTTTCGCATGAAAGAGAAAATATTTTAGAAATTTAACGGAGATTATTTGAATTATTTTAAATGTTTTGATACAGAAATGTAATAAATAACATTTTCGATTTCGTTTTGAAAGAAAATTTCTAAAATATCTATAGCAGATCGTGGTTTCGATACACGGATCTCTGAGTTATGGGACCAGTCCGCTTCCACTGCGCCACTCTGCTCTCGGTTTCAGATAAAAATTAATTTGGTTAATAATCGTTTCAGTTTTACGAAATGCTCACGAAATCATTCTCGCATGAAAGTCAAAATATTTTGGAAAATTTATCGGAAATTATTTGAGTTATTTTAAAAGTTCTGATACAGATATGTAAATATAACATTTTTGATTTCGTTTTGAAAGAAAATTTCTAAATTATCTATAGCAGAGCGTGGTTTCGATCCGCGGTCCTCTGGGTTATGGGCGCAACATGCTTCCACGGCATCACTCTGCTCTTGCTTTTAAATAAAAATTAATTTGGTTAAGAAACTTTTCACTTTTACGAAATGCGCACGAGATCAGTCTGGCATGAAAGAGAAAATGTTTTGTAATATTTATTGGAAATTATTTGAGTTATTTTAAAAGTTTTGATACAGATATGTATTAAATAATATTTTTGACCAGTTTGAAAGAAAATTTCGGAAAAATCTGTAGCAGAGCGTGGTTTCCATGCACAGACCTCGTGGTTATGGGCCCAGCACGCTTCCACTGCGTCACTCTCCTCTCGTTTTCCAAGTAAAATTAATTTTGTTAAGAAACGTATCACTTTTACGAAATGTGCACCAGATGAAGTGAAAATTAAAGAGAAAATATTCTGGAAAATTTGTTTAAAGTGAAAAATATTTTGGAAAATTTGTTGAAAGTTATTAGAGTTATTTAAAATTTTTGATACAGACAAGCAATAAGCGTGGTTGCGATCCACCTCTGGGTTATGGGCCCACCACGCTTCCACTCTGCTCTCATTTTAGAGAAAAATTAATTTGGTTGAGAAACATATCCCATGTACTAAATGTGCACCAGATGAGACTGGCATGAAAGTGGAAATATTTAGATATTTAGAGAGAGCGCCATCTAGTAGGGAATTTTTGAAACTGTCTTACTAGCGTAACTATATTTTTTTCAAAACGTTATTTGAAATAAAATTTTTAAAGTGATTTATTACCAAGATTAAAATTTTGCCGTCATTATTTTTCTGTAAAATGTGGTTTTGTTTCAAAAAAAGTGTAAAGTTATTTGTGTGTGTGAGCGAGAAATAAAAACATTTTAAACAAAATATTTTTAAATGTTATATTTTTCTTTCTAAAATACACTTCTAATAATATTGAATGTGTAGCAGTCCATGAATTAATCTTTATTTGCATTAATTTTAGAGTATTATAGGATTTTAATATCAATTTTTCACAAAAAATGTTTATTTTACTTATTAAAATATTATGAAAATACAAATAAATAATTTTTCTTTAATACTTGAAGTCAGTGGCACACACAAGGTAGGAGGGGGGGTCATCATTTCCGGACCTCCCTCCAACCTCGAATTCCTTATGTATATAGTACGCAAAGTTTAATTAAGTACTTGATTAATTTTATTATTTAAAGCTAATTATTCATTCAGTAATTAATTTTTTTTTTTCTGTTTTTTGTTCCTGAAAATCGTCAAAATCAAAAGAATAATTTGGGTGGCGTATTGGAGCATGATACGATAATAGTGGACTTTCGACCCTGGACCAGCTCCTCCCCTTGAAAAATTCCTGTGTGCTCTACTGCTTGAAATCCATTACGCTTTTAAGGCGCTATAATATTTGTGCTGTTACGGAGATCGGAGTTCGAGGATTTTATGCTTTTAGCTTCAAAGAGCAAGACAATTCTTCAGGAGCGAAGAAAATTTATTGTAGAAAAACAATCCTTGAAATACAGGATAGCAGCAAAATTCGCAAAATAAATCCCAGAAGCCCTTACACCTTCCTTAGCGTTCAGACACAACTATCAGTGCATAAAACAGGTTCGGTTTATATAAGACCGAGTTGGCCATATACCTTCTTTTGCGAGCAAACTTTTACTTTGGCAAAAAGGATTAACACATTTCAGTTTAATACATGAACTATCTACCGAAGTTTATAAAACTCCAAAATATTACAGATTTAAAAAGTGAATATCCATTTTGCAGGATTCATTCAATGCTAGGTTCAGTTTACAAAAGATTTTTGAAATAAAATAAAATAATAATAATAAAATAATGAGGAAAACGGAAACATATTTTTAAAGTTATCAATAATTTAATAAAACAAAGTTTTAATTCTTTTTTTTAATTAAAAGGAAATTTTAAATTAGAAAATTTAAAAAAAGCTTACCTGAGTCTGATTCACAGATATTTTGTCCTTTCATTTCAAATAGTTTTTAAAAAACCCACGTAAATCATGCTTTTCAGATATACTGTTCAATATAATTCGAAGTATCAACTTCGAAACGCAAGAAAATCCGATAGCAAATAATTCCGAATAAAAATTCCATAAGCTTCGACACGAACTAATTGAAAATACGAAATGAAAAAGAATAAACAAAAGATCTAATAGTTAATTGGAAAATCGTTTGTCTTTTTTAAAAACATCTGTATATTTTAAGTAACGAATAGCAATTAAGTAAAAAGAACACGTGACCTTATTTGCATAAGAGTGCATTTAAAATTATGTAGGTTACCAATTTATACAGTCTGCCAGAATGAATTCGTTATCTCTAGATAAACATCGTCAAATGACCAGATATTCTACATTTTAGCCCTAAATGGCTTTGTTTCCTTTTCGTATTTCATTCACGCCTCACATTTAAATATTTTTTTTTTAATTCTGTATTTCTGATTATTAAAAAAAAAAAATCTCTAATACACATATAAAAAGGACTTTTTTTAAAAAAGTTTATTGTAGTTGTTCTTGAATTACAAGAAACAGAGCATTTTAAAACTGAAAAAATAATCGATGATATTACGAATAAATTAAATTTCAAAGCAAAAAGCACTTCATCACAGAAAACAAGAGTATTCACGAAAAAAAAACCATTTGAGTTTATTATTATTTTTAAGATGTTTTAAGAATAAAAAAATAAATAAAATATCTCTGAACTATGCAGACACACATGTAATGTCACTTACTGTGTGAAAAATCTGTAAATGTTGTTTTACCGCTGGAATACTTATTTGGCGGGAAAAGACCATTCGGAATTTTTCTACTCGCGTTAAAGCAATGAATGCGAAATTGGCGAAAAACGTATTGAATTCAATTTATTAATTATTTGTAATAGCTAAATACAAATTCTGTATTTGAACTCTACTCTTTCGAAGCCCAAATTGATCTCTTCACAAGTAAAATTCAGAAAGAGCAAGTTCTTTTCTAAACATATTTGATTTGGAACAATCTAGTTTTTTACGAGTTAATTTTTTTGTAGGTGAAACTGTGAATATATTTCCAATTTAAGCTATCTATATCTAAAAAAATCCCCACGTTGCATTATCACAACATAATAAAAAAAATTCATCGGAAAATTAAAATTCCTACTTGTGTATAAGTTAAATTTAACATGTAGCTTGGTAATGTAATTTTAATACTCATAAGCTCTTAATATATAAATGCAATTATTAAAAATCAATTATTACCAAAGGGTTATTCATAATTTTTTCCAAGGTATTGGAACGCTGTAGTAAAAAAAACTAAAACGAATACTTCCAAAAAGAACATACGAAAAAATTTCATATTTTATTTACATACTTTGTGATGGTTCTATGCGCGCTCTTTTAACAAACAGTCCTCTTGGGGAATTTCTCGTCTTAAAAAATTATTTTATTATAATACTCCTCCCTCGAAGAAGAAAACGTAAATATGTAAATTAGGACTACTATATAGAATCTAGGCTTTCAGTTTAGATATATATATATATATATATATATATAGGATAGATTGCTAGTGGTCAGTGATTAATTAAATTGAATGTGAATCGTAGATATTTAATATTTGATAACTGAATTACTTAAGGTGACAAACTGTCACTGGACATTGAGTCTAAATTAAATAGCGAAGAAGTCAGAGCTATTGAATTAAGTAAGTGTGTTAACAGGGACGTAAGGCAGGGGTCAACTGGGTGCTGGCCCAGGGCCTCCGTCTCAGTGGGGGCCTCGTCTCCTTTTCAACTGAGGTCAAATGTTGTTTTAAAGGTCAAATGTTGTTTCTGGTTGTATTTTCCGAAAAACTGAGGATTTGGAACTATGTGTCAGCTGGCAACAGTGACAAGACTATATTATTATGTGATGACCATCGTTCATGTATATAGTCCTAGGCCTACCATTATCCACCACAAGTCCTCAAGTCAAAGAGCGACAGTCGGTCAAGCCGATTTGAGCTATTGTAACTCTAGTGGCGTAACGGAGAGCATTAAGGTGAGGTTTCGGGCCCCAAATCAAATGGTACGTATTTGGCGTCAGTCAGACTTTGGGCCCCCTAGAATCCTGCCCTTCCCCGCAATGCAGTAGTTGCGGTGGTGTACGTTACGTTGCTGTGTAAGTCATGTACATTTTTTTTGTTTCGGGTTACTGTTTGTATGAGTATTTGACAATGTATGCTCTGTACTATCTACTTTTAAAGGTCATAGAAGGGGCCTACATTTGTGTAGGAGACCAGGGCCTACTTCTACGTAGGGCCCAGGGCCTCAACAAGTCTTACAACGTCCCTGTGTGTTAAACATTAAAGTCTTCTCATATCTCGCGTACCTCGTTAATGGTCTGTATACTTATTAATTGGATGCATCTCTTATCCTTGATAGATTGAATTTGAGCTGTGGTTAATATTGGGAATAAGTTAGATTGTTTTTGAAATATGGATAGTTTTCCTTCCAATTCTCCCACACCTTTAGGTGCTCAGGCCAGATCATTATAACTTTACAGGGTTTCTATGTAGGAGCCCTTGAACACACGGCCTATATCAATGCGATAGTTCAGTACCTGCCATTCTCTACTCAGTATGGTACTATCCACGTTATTTACAGCACGTGTTATCCTTTCATTCAGTTCTGCTACATCATGAGGCAAAGGGGGTAAGGAAATTTGTGTCTTATATAAAAGACCAAGTTCTTAGATCAATTGGATAAGAAGGAAAGGATAACACGTGCTGTCAATAACGTCGAAACAACAATGCTGAATAGAGTGTGTTAGAAACTGGACATTAGAGCATTTGGCATTGATGTCTGACGTGTGACCAAGGGGGGGGTTCCCTCATAGAACCCTTGTAAAGTATGTAAATTAAATTTAAAATTTTTCTGTGTTCTTTCATGTGTTCTGCTTTGTTGTATATTCGTCTTGGTCTTTTTACTACAGCACTCCGAAACCTTGGAAGGAATTATGAATAACCCAGCAAAAATATTAGACTTTTTTTTAACAAAGTTTTGACGGATCTAAACGGTCTTTTACTAACCTCG